TCAGACTCTCTATGCCGCACTCTACGATTCTCGAGAATGTCGAAATATCAATAATAGGAGAACGGAATCTGTATGATTTCAGCTCAACCTTTCTTAGTCACAGAGACCAATGCAACAGTGCTGTGCAATCGTTTATTGTTAAATGCATTTCAGTGCACACAACAAGAATTTAATCTCAATATGCATAAAATAACAAGATGAAAAACGATAAATGTTGAGAAGATCACTGAATAAGTGAGGATCAGAAGTGAAAAAAAAAGAAAGCACACGTTATGATTATTCTATGCAAGGGTATCGCGACCAAACCCTCGAATCTGAACACGTTATGATATCCAAAAATTGAATATCCGAACAAATGAAAAACAAAAAACTGAATGTATCATATATAGTGAGCGACTCCACTAAAATAGCTGAACGAGCGTCTGATGAATATAATCAGCGACTGTAAGTTACACAAGAGCAATCCTACTGCATCAAAGACAGGATGAATATCATCGAAATCCGCAAAGAAATCAACCAGTAAGTGAGTATTTATTTATCCATCGATTCAAATTCCATAAATGACTGATCACTTCTTCGTGAAAAATCCGATCAACGATTTTGTCCCTTTACTGGCTGTTTGAAGACGTTTTTGGGCAGTGCTAAGAGGAACTGGCTTCTGAAAGCTCAACAAAATAATGAACAGTTACTTGGTAGAAATCAAATGGATGATTGAAAAGTGAAGGAAGAGTCAATCATACAAAACTGATCTTAAAAAACTAACCACTGAATATTTCACACCTCAAGCTGTGTTCTGTGAATGTCATAATTTGTCACCCAATTAAATGGATAATTGAAAAGTGAATGAAGAGTCAACAATTCACCAACATATGGATAACGTCAAAAATGAACTATTCAGTAGATCAGTTCACTGAGAAGAGAAATTGATCAATTTTTACAAAGCGGTTGCTTAAAAGGAACAATTCAACTGTGACATTCAACTCCTCAATTTGTACCTCAGTATAAAAATGGAACAATTGAATAATCAATGAATTGTTTTTGAAATAACATGAATTAGAGTGATATGATAGCGAATGATAATCACAAAATAAACCTTGACTTGAACTGGTTGTAGAATGTGACTTTCATCTGGCGACTCACTTTTATCATCAGCAACTTTCCTCTTCAATTTGTTTACTGAATCTTTCTCATTTACTATTTCTGGATCTTTAATTCTTAAATGTTCTCTTAATGAAGCGTGAAGTGATTTCGGTAGATAATCAGTCAGTGTTGAATAAGTGTAACGGCGAAGAACATCTTCTGAAACAAACGAATCAGTGCAATCGTAAGAACGACACTCATCACAGGATAATAACAATAATGAAATCAATACCGTCGACAGTAATTGACTTATGTAGTGTGCCATGTGTACACAGCGACTGCTTCAATATATTGAATCTGTTCTCGAGCCACTCCATCAAATGCATTTCATTCAGTCGGAATACCTTCGTATCACAAAACTCTACAATTCCAATGTTCTATTCAATGTCTTTCGATTTACATATCTTTCGTCGAGACCTTATCAATTTGCTAACAAACGATACATTATCACAAAAACAATATTCGGAAAAAAAGAAAATAATTCGAACAGAACATAAAATATCAATCGAACATATGAAGTAGACCTTTGCAATCGCACACTACTTCTAACGATTTCTTTAATGAGGCAAAATTCGACAGAAGTTGTATAGCTGGATATTGCTCATCCATTAAAATATTGTCCAATGGCACGAAATGGTTCTGCAAAACGTCCAAATGTATTAATCACAACGAAAGCACTGTAAGTGATTCAAATCAGTTATCGATCATAATACAATCAATGAATAATCGATCATAATACAACCAATGATGACCTGAGCTGTTTTCAACAAATATGGAAGAACGACGAACATTGGATGTATTGGGCTGAGCACTGTTATTGATCCATCCTCGATGACCGATTCACCGTAGAAGAATGATCTGAGGCAATAATTCTGGTAAATTAGAAATGATGATAATTACAAGAGAGTGACAACAATGAGAGTATTAATGAACTGGCCACACTCATGGCCACAATTCATCTCCTTTCGATGCTTATTCAGTGTATCAGGGAAGGCGAATCTAAACGAGCAGCTGCATTCACCGAAACCTTATCAATGTATTGCACTGAGCACAGAGTTAGAGTACATGCAGTGAACGAAATGACTACCGATTTGGATCAGTGATACGCAGAACTTCATCGATTGAGTCCTCACTGATTGCGTACAGAGATGCAGCTGAACTTGACGGATGTCTAAGCAAATAGAAACGTTTATTGCTCATCGATTCGGTGATTACAAACTTTCGTTTGTAATTTAAATCCGACTCTGGAATTTTGACATTATCGCTCATATCTGACGATGCGAACTCTTCTGAATCCAAATCGCCTTCATCGCCGTTCACTTCTTCCGAATATGCATCTTTTGCAGAATTTGATCGTGTTCCACGAACCATTCTCCACTAATCAATCAGTCGTTCGCCTCTCTGCAAAATAAGGACATCTCAACGAGAACCAAATCACATCATTTGTATACAACTCCCCTATGAAAATTCGCAAATGTGCATTTTCGCTAACAGATTCAATGATGCTGCATCGACAGTACAACCTCATAGGCTACCATTGATTGTATATTGTAGTTCTTTTTGAATGCTTGAAATGAACATACGGAGCACTCCATTATTTGCCACTCAGAACTTGAGTGTTGTTTAATTATATACAAGTGACGTTGGATAATCACAGAAAGCTCTTTGGGGATAACTTTCACTGATTGTGAGTTATGACATCAAAAAGACGTGCAGAGAATGATGAAGTAGATTTGCAAAATATTTATTTTCATTTATCTGAGAACAGATCAACACTGAAAACATTAGCATGATGAAAATGAAGTAAGCATTCAAAAGTTCATCGCTGAAATAGACTAGCGAGAAACATTTAGTCATGTGACCATAACGATTCGAAATTAACGAATGCAGAGTTGATGCAGTGGTGCTGTTTCGAAACGACTCGACACAAGCAATTATCACCGTGAAGAAGAAACGAAAAAGGGTCTACAATTAAGAACTTTTAGTGGTACTTGCAGAACGAAAACAAAGAAACTTAAATTATCACTTTTGAAAGTTCCGCTCTTTTGGAAAAAAATTTCAAGGCAAACCAACAAATAAATCCATGACAACTATACAACTGCCAATAAAACACCCAACCGAAAATAGATAATAAATAAACACAATTCAAAAACAATAGATGAGAGCAGTGAATGTACAAAACTTCGTCATCAAATCGTATNATAAACGTATATAATCAAAAACAGTTTGCGCAACAGATGAAATGCCGAGTCAGCAATCTACGGCGTTGCGCAGACTGTTCTTATGGAATTAATCGTCGTACAATTAGGAGCTTGAAACGTTGGTACAAGTGAAACGCTGAATGTATATTATGTTAGAAAATTACTTGAGTTCAGACCAAACAGACGAACAAAATAGTGACGAAAGGAATATCACAAAATCGCGAGATTTAATTTCCTCGTTTGCCCATACCCATTGCTGATGAAGCACCTTGCAACTGCTTCATCATGTTCTGCAATCCGCCCATACCACCCATCCGTTGCAACACGTGTGGATCCATCATTTTGGCCATTTGTTGATTCAGCTTTTGCAATTGGGATGGATTGATATTCTTCGTATTCATATCACCGTTCTGAAATTATCACTATTCCATAATACCATGTCATATCCATATGCTAGGCATCACCAGTCACCAACAATGCTTATCGCAAACAGCAAACGACAAGTAATCGCTTAACAATAACGTATAATCACCTTGAACAATCCCTTCATACTACCCATCTTCTTCACCATATCAGCGAATTTTTTGTACTGTGTCAAAAGTTCTTTCACTTCTGTAACCGATGTACCACTACCTCGAGCAACACGTTGTATCCTCCCGGGTTCTTTCGAAAACAGATCATTCGCTTTCGGATGATCCAATTCTGGAATTATTCGATTAACAAGGAGAATATATCCAAGTTTTGATGAAATGATAATCGGCATAGAAAGAATTCTGAGTGCACTTAATTCATTATTATTTTTAGATGAGCGGGAACTCAACTGACGTAAACACGACAACGACCCAATTCTCTTGCGAACTTGATTTGATCATATCAGAAATTTGATTAACCGAGATATTTTCCAATGATTAATGAAGGAACTGATGTTCGGATTGATAATTATCCTTTAACGACAGCTCATTGAATGCAAACCCACCAAAATCTGACATGCTATCCATTATGGTCATAAGCTTCTTTAAACGAGACTGCGATTCCTGTTCATTTCCTTTTGACATAAAATCTGGTCCAAATCCCGGGATCATACTCTGCAATTAATCCATTATCAATCTCATCTCATAGCGTATTTTCGTTCAATCCTCATTCCTAATTACGGCAATTATGAATCACGGTGAAATACAGTTACTAATGTGATAAAATACAGACGATATTATATTTGAAACAGGCAAAAATCATATGTACCATAATTTGATTGAAAGGACCCATTTTCATAATATTTTGGAACTGTTCGTACATATCACGTAACGTGAACATTCCTGCAAATGAATGACAAATTGCAAAAATCAAGCACAAAGTCCTTCAAATTCACTATCAGTGAAGCTGTCAATATAGAAAGATGGTCTTAAGTTCAACGCCATCGAACAAGACCAGCAAACAGTCAATACAATAGCAAAAGTTCGTTAGCAAGATGCATTCTTAGCAAATAGCTGGCAAAATGCGTTCTACGGGCAGAACAAACACAGAGAAAACGGAATACAATAATAACTTATTTGACAATTAAGCGAAATGCATAAGTTCAACAACACTGAAAGGTGGACTCACCATGTTTAAGTCTCTTGATAAGTTCCTCGTTCTCCTCCAAACCCATTTCATTGACCTTCTTAACCAAGCCTTCGATATCACCCATTCCCAACAGTTTCTGCACGAAAGGTTTCACCTCGAATGGCTCAAAATCGTCGATATGCTCACCCGTTCCGATGAATATTATCGGTGAGCGTGTTGCCGCTACACTGAAACCATAACCATCTCTAGTAAGGATTCTGATTTCGTTCAACCGGAAATAACACTACCCTACATAATATTACTCATCAAAAGACGAACCTTTCAAGAACCATTATTTACTTACTCTCACCAATAGAATCATGCAGCAACAAATACTGAAACTAAAACGAAGCATATGAACATACGCCGAGAGCGCACCACCGCCTTTCGCGTGACTGTCCAGTTTCGTGATAATCACCGAACCGACGTCAACTGTACTACTGAAGGCACGTGCCTGTGCCTCACACGCTTGACCTATTGACGCATCCATGACGAATACAACGTTGTTGGGACTCTGAAATTAAATCAACACCTCGACGGGAAAATGAATCCTAAAGAATTCTGAATCAATGAGATTAAATTCACCCACCCACTAATTTACCAAATGACCGAATAACGCGAAAGGGTGAAATAACATGTACTCTTGCTTTGGTGCCGATCTGTTTCGATGGGATTGACTGCGGAAAGTTTCATCGGATATCATGATAGCGTTTGTATGAGACAGCTAATATAGATGGGAGAGGTAGTCAACGTACAATTGCGTTTGATACTTGGAGCATCTCCTCAAAAAGCGAAGCCTCCTGCTTATGCCGACCTGACGTGTCGACTATAATTATCTCGAATCCATCCTCTTTGAATTTATCGACACCATTCGACGCGATCACCACTGGATCCATTTCCGTATAACTGCAATCTTATCGATACTCTCCACATTATGAATCATTCAGTGAGCACTCCATTTTCAGATAATGAATCATTCGAAAATATTACAATTCATCCAAAGGTTGAAAACAGATCACAAGATTTTTGAATTTCAACAAATCGTTCAGATTGAACTTCGATGAGATGATAAAAATAAGTGAAGAGAAGAGAATACGGCAAATAATACCTTCCGTAGAAAGGTATCCGTGCTTTGGTGGCATTCTGTTTCAGCTGATCGAATGCACCCGCACGGAATGTATCCGCACAAATTAAGCACGTTTTCCAACCTTTCTTCTGGTAATAATATGCCAACTGCAACATCTCACAATAGATGTTTCATTTCGAAATTTACAATCCATATTCATCCCAGATTGAGATGTACAAGTAAGTTTGCGATCTAATTCCATTCACAATAGTCTCAAATTATTACGGATCATTCAAAAATGATAACATTCCGAAGGAAAACCTTAGTACAAGTGGTTGTTTTTCCTGATCCTTGTAATCCAACAAACATGAAAACGTTTGGTTTGCCTTTAGATGGTTGATACGGTTTCACTCCTGGATCGACGAGTTTCATTAGTTCAGTGAACACACATCGCTGGATTAAACGACGTTTGTTCACACCACCAGCCATCTCATCAAAATCCAGCGTTTTACTGAATTCATTACTTTTACTGCTAGCATTACTGATTTCAATGAATTCTATTGGCTGTTGCAGTATAGCTCCAAAAATGTTCCACTGAATACAGTTGAAGATAATGTTCAGTGCAAGTTCAATAGAAAGCGATTAATATGTTGTGCATACAGATAGACGATGACGCTTGAAATCATTCAATTCAGAGCAACGCATAATTGAAGCGGAACAGATTATATCTTGATGGTTATCAATACAAGAGTCATATGACACACTCACACGTGTGTCTTTTCTCCGAACGAACAACGAAAAAGCTTACACGACATTGTCCTTCAAGTGTTTCACCAAACGTATGTTGACATCAGCTTCAAGAAGTGCTGCGCACACTTCCTTAAGCATCGCATTCAACTCATCTTCATTGATGATCGTCGCCTGTCCCAGTTTACCGATCGCATTGCGAATTCTACGACCCAAATCAGCTAATACCATTTTGTTACTAGCCTTGCGGACGAGGGCTGATAATACTCCGTATGAGAATTAACACAGTCGAAAAAAACAGCCTGAATGGATGAACGTTAAATGATTAAGCAGTTTGGGTTAAAAACACTCGCAGACTGGGATTCCAACAACCTATAATTACCCAGCTAAATGCAACAAAAATGAACAATCCAACAGTTAATCAGAAATGCTAGTCGAAAAAAATTAACGGTGATCACGTGGTCCAGACTGCAAATTTCCCTACACCTCAACGATCAACACTACAACAAGCTGAACTAAATAATCAACAAAATATCATTAATAAACCAATATCCTCTGCATAATTATCAACTTTTCGTTCAGCCGAACAGCTAAATGTGGGCATTCTACCTTAATGATAGTCAAAGCGTAAGAACGTGTATATTTCACATATTGCGGAAGAGAATATTAACAAACTGAGATTAATTTCATCCCGAATGCAAGAAACTATTAAATTGTTCGTCAATCAGACTTTAATGAATCGTTTGCAATGATGCGAGCAATATTCCTTCAATAGTTCTAATCAGCCCCAAACGATTGTCACAGTATTACTCACGTCTGTTTTCAATACGCTGTACTCACAAACCTATCCAGAATGAAAAAAAACTGTTTAAAATGTGGATTCGCGTTGGAAACATTAAACGATCAACGAGTTCCAGACAATTTGGTCCGCAACAAGGTGCAACCCCGACAATTTGAGCGTGCCTCATCATTGAGTAGATAGGTGATTTTTGTCGGAGTTTAGACTTGTCGCGGACGTATTTGTCGGTCACCCGTTCCATATCATCAGTAACAGGAGCAAGTTGCCAAGATATGGTGCCAATCGCTCGTTCGATGAAAGTGATAAAAGCGAGAAGAGTGTTCGATGAAGCTGGCCGAAGAGGATATCGAATTCGATGCAACGAATAAATGACGGGAATAATCCTTTACAGTTCCGAGTTTGTGTTAATGATTATGATCATAAGTTTTATGAGTGTGAGTCGGACGATACGCTTGTGTCTGTGTTTATTAAAGTTAATTTATCGATTACAGTTTATAGAGAACGGATATTAGTGATGGTTGAAACACATTGATGAAACTAATTAAGACGTGTCATGTTTGGCAAGAATCCGAAGTAACGGTCTCAGTTTCATCCACCACTGTTCTAACGGCAACCTATGAGGGAAGTCAGCCTCATCGCATAGTTCTTCAACTGGTGTGAAGCACTCATGGCGACCCTGAAATTGTCCTTGTTAATAGGCGATGAATAAATGGATTTGAATCAGAGATTATAGGATAGTTGTGATATAACAAGTTGAGGTGATCTTACCGAGTCATACTCGAACTATAAATTTAATCTTTCGGTCAATAGACTCAGTTACGAATGCTTGTAATATTGTCTGCACAATTGACAAAAACATCCGGTGACGAACAGAAATAACGTACAATAACACCAAGAAGAGTGGCGGTATTGGGTGTTGTACAAGAAGTGGTATTATTAGACACATGTTTGTGCTCATTAATTTGGTCAATGAGATGTTCCATGGCTTTTCCACCCATCTTCGTACCCATAATGCGGTCGAATGGCGATGGATTTCCACCTTGTTGTGTATGTCCGAGTACATTAACCCGTGTCGTAAATGCACCTTTACTTTCCTCGCAGAACAATTCTCTTATGAATTCAGAAGTGTAGTTACGAGACGCTTTCTCATTACGAACGACCAAATAACGTTGAGCACCAGTCACCATCTTTTCTGCTATTACCTTAGAAAGAGACTCTCAATTACAAATATCATCACATGTATTAGGCAGTAAGGTATTTCGCAGTTGAAATTTTAGGTTTTATTGCAACATTCAAGTAGATTCAGTGCGTTTGTTGTTAGTAGTTTTAACGAAAGTTGAATTATGGTAGACGAAGTTATTGAATTTTGCAATGTTTTCAGTCAACTGATTCTTTTGACATTGAGTTTTGGATGATACCGTCGAAAAGAAGAATGAAACTAACTTTAACATCCTCAATAAGGTCACTAACACCAAACATCTCCTCATAAATATAAGCTGCATCTGCACCGCTTGCCATAGCCGACAAGGTAGCCAAGTATCCACAATGTCCTCCCATAGTCTCAATCACAAACACACGACGTTTCGATCCTAGAATGACAAGTTATTTGTATTGTGGCAGAATAGCTTCTGGAATGCAGAATTGTGAGAGAATAACTTTGAACAGCTTTTTCAGATGAATTCAAAGTGCTTCAATGTGAACGTACCAATGTGTGTCTAAAAATGAGCTTACCAGTAGCAGATGTTTTGATTTTATCTATCATGCGACATATTTCGTTCAACGATGTATCGGCACCGAGTGAGAAATTCGTACCAGGAACATTGTTGCTGATTGTACACGGTATGACACACATCGGTATGCGCAGTTGTGGATACTTGTCACGATTTTGCGCAAACACTAAACATGAATGAAACGCCTGCAAATTGAGTTGTTGCTGAGATGAGCACTGCAAAGTAAAGTCTGATGTCTACTACCTCAAAACCACCGATCAGAACGAGCGCATGAATGTTGAAACGTGCTAAAGTTTCAGCAATTTCTGGCAAAAGCTCTGTTGGTAAGACTTTTTGTGTACCCAAGAACGATCCACCTTGTGCTGTCCAACTTTGAACATCGTTCCACTCCATCTTCTGCAAAATATTTTCGTTGATTACATCGATCATTTCTTCTCAGATATCTGAGTATATCTTTTGAAGAGTACATATGACCTGACATCAGCATTTATTCACCTGTAGTTGTCCAGATGCTAAACCCTCGTTGGAATTATGCACTCCATACGGAATGCAGTTGCGAAGAATAGCCAAACGTGCACAACTTCGGGTAGCTGCGTTCATTCCTCAAATCACTTATTCATGTCAGCGTTTCCGTCAGCAAGTTCATGAAGGTAATTGATTACAGATTAATAAATTACAGATTCGTTCGAATGGAAATTGATTAGAGACTAAAAAGCTGTTCAATGATCACCTCCGGATGGTGATCCAATATTTACGATGGCAATATTATACGTATTTACAGCATCTTTCTTTTTCGGTGTTCTGATTTTGGTTAATGTTCGATACATTTCAACATTCCTGCGGAAACTTCGTCCACGCAATTGCAACGCTGTCACCCAGTCTTTTTGATCGGTTGCTTTTTTGACCTGAGAGCATTGCGTATTAATTGATCGATGTACTCGGGGAATTATGAATGAATAATCAGAATACCGCTTGTGTTCGTTCAACACATTTCATGAGAGGCACTCGAACTATCTGGTTGCCATCAATCGAAACAACACAAGGCTCTGACTTCTCATCCATCTCCATCAACGCCACCGTCGCCTCAGCACCCATTCGACAGCCCAACAAACGGTCGAATGCTGACGGATTACCACCTCGTTGAACATGACCCAACACTGTTACTCGAGTATCGTAATGCAGATTCTTACGAATCACCTCACGCACCTCAACAACTCTCATTCATCTTTTGTTGGTGATGTTGACTCACTTCGGCAATTTACAGTCGTATTCATCGTCTCAAATACTCGCAAAATGTGCTGATGTTCATTTTCAGTGAATATTGTGATTATAATCAATATTGTGATCAGAGGAGATGCAACTGAAAGGACGACTTTAAACAAATATGAAACCATTTCGGACGTAATCGGTGCTCCACTGTTATCAATCGCACCCTCGGCAACAACCACGATGTTCACTCGTGTTCCATCGTCACGCATCTGTTTCATCTTCTTACAGAGCACCTCTCTCCAGTTCAGTGGTGGAGGCCACTCGGGAATGAAACAAAAGTCTGCATCAACAGCCAGAGAAGCGGTTAACGCCAGATACCTACAAACCAAGCCACATCAAATTGCTCATTAATTTTTCTTTATTTTAGCAAGAAATTACATTCGCTTTGAAATGCATCCATTATCCTGCCGCACAAAGTGATAACCATTACTAACTGCAGCTTCATTTTTTAATAAAACATCTTTGACAATGATGATGAGTCGTACCCGCAATGTCGTCCCATAACCTCAACAACGAACGCTCTCTGATGACTTTGTGCCGTTGAGCAAACACAGTCAATAGCCTCGGTTATACGGTGCAGTGCTGTGTCCGTACCAATCGTCATATCAGTTCCACAAAAATCATTATCGATCGAACCAACTAATCCAACGATCTACAAATGATATACTTACACATTCAGTGAAATTTCAAATTCTTAATTCAGCGATCACAAACACTCAATTTAAATCACACCTGAAGGTACTGACACACATCCGCATCCTTCTTCGTGATTTTGCCCGCTTTCAACAGCTCGTCTACAAGACTAGGCCACTCCTTACGGAATATGTTCGCTCCTTCAATAGTTTCCAATATGAACTTTCCACTCGAGTTAACGATAACTGCCATTCGTACTCCATTTTAATGTTAACATTCCATGCAAATGGTCATCAAAGTGATATTTTCAACGCGAAGTAACGCACCTGTAAGTGAACCGTCACCACCGAGACATACAAGCGCTGTGATGCGGTGTTTGATGAGATTTGCAGCTGCCTTCAGTCGACCCGACCTTTCACGAAATTCTTTGCATCTCGCCGATCCAATTATGGTACCTATCAAACTTTCATTAGAACATTACACTGGCATCCGATTAATTTTCGAAACACAAATTTTTCGAGTTTTCCAAATGGTTCTCTTCGAATGAAAATGTCTCCAAGTATTAGTTCATCGGCTTTCAGTTTATTTCTAATGTTTCGATCAACGATATTTAGAGATTGGCAATGAAAAAGTGGGAATGTTAAAGTGACGAGTGTCACTGGTGAGTAATTGATGAAAACAATGACCGACCAGCTTAGTTAAAGAGTATCAGCCAACCTCCTTTCTGAATGATGTCTGATACCGAATTCCAATAAGCCTGTTTGATGTTCTCACCACCGTCGACCATGCCTTGGTATCCCTCATGAATGAAGTACACTTCACATCCGAGATACAAGCCCATACGAACAATCGCACGTACAGCGCTGTTCATACCTTTAATTCACTTCATGCAACTGTCACATTA